TCTCTCTCTCTCTCTCTCTCTCTCTCTCTCTCTCTCTCTCTCTCTCTCTCTCTCTCCCTCTCCCTCTCCCTCTCCCTATCTCTCTATCCATCCTTCAATCCATCCATCTTTCTTTCTATCTTTATCACAATGTAACACACTCCACTTACATGAAGTCATTCTCTTCCTATTCTTCTTCTATTGGATCCCTTCCCTGGGCTGTTTTCCAAAAAGTGCCGTGTCACATAAGATGCAACGCACGTGAGCCATGCGCCCACAGTGCATAGACCTGACTGGGCTGTTACTGGGACCAATGCGTGCGCAGTGTACATACCTGACTGGACTGTTACTGAGACCAATGCAGCACAGTGCATAGACCTGACTGGACTGTTACTGGGACCTATGCAGCACAGTGCATAGACCTGACTGGACTGTTACTGGGACCTATGCAGCACAGTGTATAGACCTGACTGGACTGTTACTGAGACCAATGCAGCACAGTGCATAGACCTGACTGGACTGTTACTGGGACCAATGCAGCACAGTGTACATACCTGACTGGACTGTTACTGAGACCAATGCAGCACAGTGTATAGACCTGACTGGACTGTTACTCGTGTTGGCGTTGACACTGCGTGTGTGATTTGTTGTTGTTTCCTACTTGTATTCCAGACTAAAGGAATGATCTCGGCGGAGGGTGCAGCAGGTCAGCAGCAGCAACCCGGGGGCATGATCCCACCCGGTCCCGGCATGCAGCAGCCGCACTTTGCCGGTCAGCCCGTACCCAACCGACCCCCAGGTCCGGGGATAGGTCCCCCGGGCAACCAGCCCATGCCTGGTGGCCCTGGCGGCATGGCACCGATGTTTGACGGCGGCATGCCCCCACCGCATCCGGGCATGATGCCTCCGCCGGGCATGCCATCCCATGAGGGCTCTTTCCCGCCCCAGCACGGCGGCGCACCTCCACAGTATGTACCGCAGCAGGATGGTCCACCGCCCATGGGACATGCTGGCGGCGGTAATTGGAGACCAATGGGTCCGGGAGGTCCTGCACCTGTTGGAGGGCCAGCACTACTGCCCACGCCATCGGGGCCACAAGCGCCACCCATGCCGTCCGGATATCAGGTGTGTGTGCGTACTCTGTGTGCGTACTCTGTGTGTTTGTGTGTGTGGGGGGGGGGGGGGGGGGGGGGCTAGATTAACTCCTGTGTAATCGATGGTGCTAGTGAAGCTTATATGATCCAGTCTGATTTAGCAACCTTCACTGAGGGCAGGGGTAAATGCAGTTGGATCTCGGGACGGATACCCTGATGCCGTCAATCTTATTCTGTACCTTGTCCTCACCCACATACTGAGGTGTGGTGAGCCCATGGTTGGGATCATTTCCAAGTCCACCCACTGTTTGGGGATTTCAGAGGGTGTCGGCCATTGGGTGGTTCAATACCTAATTGAGTCATCTTTCCGAGGTTCCTTTTGAATCTCTCTACTCTCTCCTGGGGAGACCCATGTGACCAGTCGGTGCAAGTGTGTGTGTGGTTGGGTGGGTGGATGGGTGGGTGGATGAGTGTGTGTGTGTGTGTGTGTATGTGTGTGTGTGTGTGTGTGTGCGCGCGTGGGGTGCGTGTGTGTTTGTGTGTGTGTGTGTGGTGGGTGAGTATGATTGTGTTTACGGGTGTTCCCAACAATAGTATGCATTGTCTTTTGTGCATGTGTGCGTGCTTATCTTTTGTGTGGATGTGTGTGCATGTGTGTGTGTGTGTGTGTGTTGTTGTTGTTGTTGTTGTTGTTGTGGTATGCATGGGTACACACTATCTGCAGGAGGAGTATATTGATGGTGGAAACAATGGCGGAGGAAACAATGGAGGAGGCGGTGGTAGTGGTGGTGGTGGTGGTGGCGGCGGTCGTCCAGACTACCCCGTTGAAATGGACTATCACGATGATTATGACTCTCGGCCGCGTGGCCGTGGTGGATACCGAGGACGCAGAGGAGGAAGGGGTCGAGGTAAGCCACCTGTTCTAACCCTAACTTTGCGTTGCAAAGACTTCCCGGTGATGGCCGATGGTGTCTTATTAAGGCCAGATCTCGCTGAGCACACCCGCAGTACACTGGGCATGGTATGCTACTGTTTTCGCAAAGCCTGGTCCGCTTATACACAGGCTTCCTTGGTTTGCAGGCATCCTGATCCTCTGTTGGCTTTCCTCAACAGTGCCCATACTAAGGAAGTTTCGCTCTACGTAATATTACGTATGAAAATCCGTATGTCGTACGCGCCGGGGAGCGAGGGTAACGTTCATACGTAAATCTTTCTACGGATTTCCGTAGGAAAGCTCTTTTCTACGTCGGGTTCTCTGTAGCGACGTAGGATTTGTTGAAATATTTTTTCCCATTTTCCGGATTTATCCATGGCAACGTTCAAGCCGAGCGAAACAAAGGTACACATCACGTGGAAAACAAAATGGAAACACGGTTTCAGTTTGTGGTGCATGTGGTAGGCGCATGCAGCCAACGCATCTCCAAAGCAACAAGGCATGCTTTAATACTTCCTCCGCGTCATTAAAATTGTCGCTTCGCACATCGCAATATTTGTGACTTGGCTTGTCTTAGTCAGACTGTCGGAATCACTGTTTTCTGTGTTCGAACACTGGTGTGACCCTTCCTGCGCAATGTCTACTTGTCACTGAAGCCGTGGTGGTCTCGGACTTTGTCGGAGCTCTCCTCCGCACCAAGCAAATTCATCGCGCTCCGCACTATTCCGCCCCAGAGCGCATTTCGTTTTCTGGAGTTCGTGCCGTCCCACATCGTTCGCGTGGGCATTTGTCAAGACTGCAAACTAAAGCTCGGTCCGTCGACAATGCTCTGCCTCAATTTCTAGCTGATTTCTTTGCCCTTCGAGTTGACAAAATAATTTCGAAAAATCGCTCTGAGAAGCGACAAAGGGTTAATGACGCGGAGGAAGTAGTAGTCGTAGAGAAATCACATAGAGAGTAACCCAACAGCGCTGATTTTTGCGAATGAAAATTACATGCACTTCCTACATTATGTGTAATTGCGTTGAGCGAAACCTCTCTAATAATTATAATGTTCTGCTTGTGCCGCTACCCGAAATTACTATTGTTATTGGTCCGCCTGGGGGGGGGGGGGGGGGGGGGGTGCTCTTCAATTTCTGCAGATATTCCAGTGGATGAAACTGTGTACGATCCTTCAGTGCAACTCTGCCCTTTCCCTTGTTGTACATTGTGTTGTAGTGAAGCCCCTGCTGTAAAGCGGCACAGTGTGGGGTCAACGTCACGGTACATTTGCCGTCCATGCTTTCTTTCCCATGGCTTTCCTTCTACCCATTTCTATGCTTTATATGCTGCTATGTACCTACACTCATACCTCGTTTATCCGGGCGGCCCATAACTTGCCTATTGCCCATAACTTGGAAATGTCCGTAACTCCGAATCACTTACCTTTGTGATGGAGAAAGGCCATAGATATGGCATATGACGTCACTGTCTCCACAAAAAGTGACAAAAGAGTAGTAATATTTCCACTAAAACTCGCCCAAACGGTGCTCGGTAGACCGAAGTGCCCGTAGCTTCGGGGTCAGGATATCCAAGGTATGAGTGTACAGTCAGACCTCGCTTTAAACCGCACACATCCATTTTCCACAAAAATATCCGGATAGGCAAGGGAACCGGATAATCGAACACACCTACTGTATGTATGCATGGCATATGCTGTAAATCGGTAACCAACAGATTTCTTCCGGATGGTGAGGGATCCGGATAAGAGAGGACCGGATAAGCGAGGTCTGACTGTATTGACTTTTACATTGCTGCTTTGTGGGTCTGTGTGTGTGTCTGTGCACGTGTGTCTGTGCACGTGTGTGTGGGTGTGTGGATCTGTGTTTTTGTCTGGTTGTGTGTGTGTCTGTCTGTGTGCATTTGCATGTGTGTACCCGTGTGTACCGATGTTGTTGTTATTGTCAGGTGGTGCGTCTAGTGTGCCATGTCGTCACTACATGTCACCACGCGGCTGCACCATGGGTGACAACTGCCGCTTCCTGCATCCAGCACCTGGCTCTCTGGACAACTGGGACAACGGTGCACAGCATAGTGGCGGTGGTGGGTATGAGTACGACCGGCCTCCACACACCAATGCTGGTCCACCGCCGTTCAGAGGTGGCCGAGCAGGAGGTGGTGGTGGTGCTGGCGGCGGCGGTAGTGCTGGTCCCTATCATGCTGCTGCTCCTGGCGGGGGCTCCATGCCTCCACAGCTACCACCACACCACCACCATGAACCAGGCTCCAGTGGTGCTGTTGGGGATATGCCAATGGTACATGGACAGCAGTTTCCACACAACCAACCCCCATCACAAGAGCTTCCACAGCAACAACAACAACAACAACAACAGCAGCCACCTCTGATGGACATGCGTCCACCAGCCACGTTGGCTGCCTACCCACCAACGCAACAGCCTCTGGGTGAGGCACGTGATCCCCAGCCGCTTGCACTGCCACCAGCCTCGTCCATATCATCATTGTCTGAGCCCAGTGGCATGCACTCGGCTAGTACTCTTGTCGATCCCGTTCGGTCCGCGGCAAGAACTGGCGCCGTCGGTGCCATTCCGGAGATCGTGTCACATCAGCAGCAGCAGCAATCCGCTGCCGTTGATGACACGGGTGGCTCTGCAGAGCCCGCACCGCCGAACACTGGTAGTGGTGCATTGCAGCACACCGATACGCCGCCTGGGACATCGGCACGCCCGCCGGACACTGCTGGATCTACTGCAGCCACGGCCACTGCTTCTAGTTTAGGTTCTCGCAGTGCTGCTAGTGGTGCTGATGATACTAATTTACCCAATGTTGCTGCTACTGCAACTGCTGTACCTAGTGATAGTGCATTGTCCCATTCTGCTACTACTGCTGCTACTGCTATTCGTTCTACTGCTAGTTCTGCTGCTGCTGACTCGGCTGGTATGGGTTCTATGCATGAGTCATCTGACCAAACTAAGCATCATTCAGCTGCTGCTGTACAACCGGCGGCCACAGGGCATGCTAGTGTAGCTGATGATAGGGCTAGCAGTGTATGTGATGCCGTATCGGCGCCTAGCCAAGAGGCAGTGGCGGCTACGCATGCACATGCACACGCCCCCGGTGCGGCGGCGGCTTTGGTGGGTGATGAGCCCGAGGTACATGTAGGAAGAGAACAGCGGCAGGCAGCGTCTCCGCTGCCGCCTGTATCAAACACGGACACCAGTGCTAGTGGTGCAGCGACAGATACGGGGGTGTTGCCGTCGCTGGCAGACACGGCGGTGGATGCGCCGCCGTCGCCAACACGCACAGCAGAGTAGGCTAATGTCCTCGAGTGCGTGTGTGTTCCTAGAATCCACCAGCAGCAGCAGCCATCATACTATAGTTCTTTACTTGTACAGTGGCAGACGGTCACGATTCGTCGTGCTGCTTGCACCATTCAAGTATCCTGCAAGTACCCTGGTCATTGCAAGCACATTGCTGTGAGTTAGGTGTAGCACAAGCCTGCTGCACTGGCCACGGGGTACGTGTAGCTCAGGCTTGACCCTGGTTGACAGCCTAAGTTGACGACACCCTATCCTGCCGCTCGTGCGTTCCTAGGCCTGTTGCAGCCGTTGTCTTTACTCGCCAGCCAAGCTGACCAGTCTTTCTCGGGGGTATTGCTATTGTCAGTACTGTTCTGTTCCTGTGCGGTATATACCCTCCGCTGCTAACACACCCGCCGCATTCGCCTTTTTACTTGCCCAGGGCCGTTCGAGTGTGTCTTTGTGGGTTTAATCCGGCAACGCATAGACCAGGCTGGTGTGTGTGTGTGTGTGTGTGTGTGTTGTTCCCCCTTCACCAGTGAACTCTTTCGGCAGCTGCGGCTAATGAGCTTTGCAACGTTTCGTATTTGTTTTAGGGTGTGCCTGTGTTGGCATGCTTGGAACTCTTTCCCTGTCTGCTTGGTGTCTCTTAGGGTGTTTTTACTTCATTTCTTCCTGCTATCCTCGCTGTCTTGTCTCCTTTTTTGGATATCCTCTGTCTGCTTTGCTGTGGTCCTTCTGTGCAACCCCGTTTTGTTTCTGTGCACTTGAGAAGTGTTTGAGACCTGATATCCTGCGCTGCAGCTTGTTACTACTTCTAAACACTTACAGCCATTGGTTTCTATTTTTACTTCTACAATGCCATGCTGATGGCAAGTTAGTTACCAAAATGATGGTAAATTGCTAATGTTTGGGTTTGTGCCAAATCCCTGTGGTCACTATCCGTGGATCATGGATAGACCACAGGGATCCATGCCAAGCTGTATCGCGTAGCTAGCTGCAACACTTTGTAGTGTATTTGACTCTGTGACAATGCTGGCTTTCGCTGCCACCGTTCGACGGCTGTATAGTTCGATCATGTATGTCCGTACCCCTGGCTTTATCGTGCATGTCTTTCTGGTTATGTCGTATACCATGCGTGGTATACAGTCATGATGCATCGTTTCTTTGACCGAAATGCACGCTCGTTGTCGCACACCCACATGATGGGTGAGTTGTGACGCGTTACACAACTGTTACTTCCGGGAGGAAAATCTGATTCCCTTCAAATCATTATCATGTGGCGCTTGCATTATCTCCACCCATTGTGCGCCAATATTCTACTGCCTCAGGGCCTGCCTACTGAGCTGCATATGCATGTGAACCGACGTCTACTATATCTTCAGACGGGTTTTTCACGCTTGTGCACTCACACTTTCTACTTCTAGTACACAATCATTGTTACATACATACTAACAAAACTGCTAATACTCTACAGGGTGTCACAGTTTGTGCATGACAGACTACAGGTCATGTTTTGTTCCCGCTGCACCGTAGATCCTCCCTTCTAAGTTCAAAGCTTTCATTTTTCAGCTTTCTTTCATGTCGTCCTTGACGAGCTGGACTAGTACTGGGTGGTAGCTTGCTTTTATCGTATGTTCAGCCACACAGACTAGCCTGGAGCCGAGTAGAGGCTAGGCGCCTCCAGAGCTCCAGCTATTATTATTTGTGTCGTATGTTGTAATTTAAAAAAATGCATACATGTGTGATGCCATTGCTGCTGTCGCTGGGCTCCTTTCGCTTCCGGTATTTTTCTGCCTCATCACATGCACAGCACATGCACTGCGTGCTTTGCATTGTGCAATTATTATTGTTTTGCGTTGCGTTCAGTTTCATGCTTGTCTTCGCTGCATGTGCTTTCATGATCAGTCACAAGTCCAAGGTTCAAAGTTCAAACAACGGCCAGAGACGCGTGCATGTTAGTGTTAGCGTATTGTGATGTGCTGGGATGGCGAGGACATTGCATGTGACGACTGACGGTATAAGGCGTTGTGGAACCAGGCAGACGCTACTGATCATAGCGTGTTTTCAAGTTTTGCATGCAACGGGAATAACCAGACGCTACTATTCGCGTGTTAGCGGCCGTCGTGAGTTCCCTTCGGGAACGGATACGATAATTTTTACTTTTTTTTTTTTTTACTATTCGCAGTAACGTCTTTGCACACATGTACAGTAGCTATGGGGAATAATGGTTATACCCTCCCCCTGGCCTCTGGTAGGTGCAGCCTTGGAAAGACTTTCCCTGTTGTATTGCACATTCCAAGAGAGGGGGGGGGGGGGGAGAGATACAGAGATACGGAGAGGGAAGTAGTGAGGTTAGGGGCACGTGTATGCCTTTGTCAAAATTAGTGAATTAACACAAATAGTCATGGCTGCAGGCACCCCTTGGCCCTTCCTGCAGCCGGCTACTGTAATACAGTGAGCCAAGGATACAGTCAGCCAGGGATTCAACCAGCCGGGGGTTGAACCAGCCAGGGTTTCAACCAGCCGGGAGTTGAACCAGCCAGGGATTCAACCAGCCAGGGATTCAACCAGCCAGGGATTCAACCAGCCGGGATTTGAACCAGCCAGGGATTCAACCAGCCGGGAGTTGAACCAGCCAGGGATTCAACCAGCCGGGAGTTGAACCAGCCAGGGATTCAACCAGCCGGGAGTTGAACCAGCCAGGGATTCAACCAGCCGGGAGTTGAACCAGCCAGAGATTCAACCAGCCGGGAGTTGAACCAGCCAGGGATCCAACCAGCTCAGCATGCCACCAGTCAGGGATTCAGCCAGCTTGGCATGCCACCAGTCAGGGATTTAGCTATGTGAGCATGGCTACATGTAAATATTGGCTACGCACAGATTGCTGGACACGTTCCGTTGATGTATGGAATTCATACAAATATTATACCAGAAGAAAATCATATTTCGAAATTGGACGTAGCACTAATCATTCGTGTCTCGTGTCACATGCTAACATTTACCCAGACAACAGTCTTGGCAAGAACACAGCCGAGAGGGCAAGAAGGATACAAATGTTACCAGCGGCGATGGATGTAACTTTTATCATTGTCGGCGGTGAGGGTGCTGATGATGGTGGCGGCGGGGTGGCACAGGGAGGAGCAGGCTGCGTTCCCGCCTTGGCATTCTCAGCTATGTACTTGGTCCATGCCTCCTTCCAGGTCTGGCGCAGTAGAGTGAAGTTCACCATGCCACCCTCCTCACCCTGATGAGTGTGCAGGCTGGCCGGTGAGACTAGCTCGTAAATCGGAACGAGGGTTGCCTCTCTGGACACGTCCAGTTGGGAAATGTGTTCCGGCACCTTGTCAACAAGTGTACGCCAGTAACTAACCTTAGGTGACACTCCGCCGGACGTCGAGCTCTGACTGATGGCCGCTGTACCGGACGTGCTGGTAGAGTAGCCCAGGGAATTGCCAAAGCCGGCCTGAAGAGCCGCGTCGGCAGAAGCTGCAAAGCCGCCGGCTCCCGTCGAGCTGGAGTAGGCGGATTTCAGCGAACACTTGTCCATATAGGCCGTAGTAAGAACGCTACCACCGTAGTCAATAGCGGTGATGAAGTGAGTGCCCCATGTCTTCAGTAGCTGGTTGAAGTAGGGATCGTCTGGGTCTGACTCGTTCACCTCGGCAAAGATGGCTGCCAGCTCTCCTTCCAGCTCCAGGCATCCGAAGTCTGGCAGAGTGCCAGTTGCCAAGACAACACGTCTCCGATTCTCAGCGAACACATAGTTGTTCTGATCTTGTATGCGTTGCTGTTGCGAATACTGGAATTTGAATCCCAGAGCGACATCTTCCACTACGCCCAACAGTCCCAGTTTGCCTTGAACGCTGCGCGAATAATCCATACTAGTCAAAAACGAGACCGTGTCGCGATCGCGATGCTCTGACGGCGGATCATAAAACCTCACCGAGGCTTGACACGGCATAACACACTGCAAATCGTAGCGCATACTATCGCTCTTGCGGCCAGATGGGGAGTCCTCATTGCACGCATACAGATTGAAGACGGGGCGTCGTATGAACTCCGACAATTGGTAGTTATTGTATTCAGTGATGTCCACGGAATATCCCAGATGGCAATAGCCTTTACCCGGTGGAAGCCTCGCAGGCTCGCATTGCTGTGTGCTCTGGCAGTTTTGTTGACTAAGCGAACAGCTCTCTCTAAACTGCTCAGGCGTTAGCTCCGTGCGCACAACAGGAATAACGTGACCGCTCAGCGTGGCGACAAGAAGCAAGTATCTTGCCAGTGTTGCTATCGCCGAGGTCATCCATGCGGAGAGGCGCGCCGCCATCCTTGGCAGCGCTGTTCAGAAAGAGCGCAGAACAACAGTACCGCATGCACAACTAGTATCTGCCCGGTCCAACAAAGAAAAAAGAAAGGGGAAATGGCAGCGTTCCAACCTTCGAAACTTCATCAGTCAGCCTAAGATCGGTCGCGTCGATCTCGTCTATGCGATCGTAATAATCGTGAGTCTGTTAACGGACTCGGAGCGGAAGGAACGTATGAGGACGGGGATTACCCCGCTCGTGGGTGCTGACATGTTGTTGACGCCAGGACTTTGCCGAACCGAAACCAGCCGATCTACACTACAGACTGCATGTAGTGTAGAGCTAGCTGGTAGAGTGTAGACTGACAGTCTGTAGTCGCGCCAGCACCGGATACTTCTAGAGAATTCTACATGACATGTGACAACAGTAATGTTGCTCCCCGAGTCTGCACTGCTGGAACGATAGATCGTGAGGCAGACCTCCTACTCCGAAGCGAAACCTGGCTAACGTTTACAGTGGGCTCTTTCGATTACGCAGTCACACACAAGACAAGTAAGTATTACTAGTAGTTAGTTCTGGACCCAAGTCTCTTCAATGTTTCAATGGGCAATGCTCACGGTAAACTCTTCTAACCACTCACAGACTCCTGCAATATTCATAGTCACTAGTTGCGCGGATCGGAGAGCTATAGGGTGCCCATCGAAGAAGGGAGTCTCACGAATAGGTGACGTGGAGAGCGGCAGAGCGGCAAGAGACTTGTAGCAGCGATACAGAGGAACCACGCTTCAGTTTTGATTTGCAGCGAGTTACGCTTGCATGTCTGGTGTTTCTTGGGCGCGTTCGCAGACGCTGACTGGTACGTCAGTATACGTCCTTTTGCTGGTGTGGTGCGGGTACCTAGGAGAATCTACTAGTACTAGATCTACAGCTGTTGTTTATCCCACCGATCAGGTGACTCGAGTCGCGAGGTACCACTGCCACTGCCACTAGACCATCATCATGCTCGTGTGTGCAACTACCGGTAGCTCCCGGACGGAGAGTGGTCGCTCCGGCAAGTTCGGCGTGCGGGCCGCGTACATGTACACGCCGCCAGTCCTAGCGGACTACATACACGTTGTCCTATTCGTCCTTGCTAGCGTATTGCAGATGGGACTGAGGAGCGACGCATTATACTGTGCATCCGGCGCACAGCTATCCCAGACCTGCGTGAACGAGAGAGGGCTGAAAGGTTACTCGTGCGATGCTCCGAACTGCGAGATCGATTTCGACAACAACGTGCACGACGGTCTGCCGCTTGGACGGGGCTTCGACTTTTCCAAGGCTGCAGACACCATCTACACGAGTAAGCCGGCCATTCTGGCCGTCAAATACTGCAAAGGTACGCCCGCCCACTAGGCACGTACATGAGTGTGTTGTAGATGCTTAGGAACTATAATACAGCTCAGCTAGTCCGCAGACCTGGTTTGTCAAACAGCCTCCATTTAGCAGCTGCACAAAACCTACACAAGGGAAAGTAGGGCTTTTTAAAACAGTTGTTGCAACGCAGAGTTGTCATGGTAACAATCATTAGACCAGCACCTACATAATTATACATTTTTCTGCGGGTTTACGGAGGCTAGGCTGCTTGGTTAATAACGAGCTTGCAGACATGATGTCAATTATTTCAGTTCAATCACTTGTAGCAACCTGGTTATGTAGTCTTCAATAGGTGCAGGTGAGGTTCAATGTGCTTCCTGCAGTCTGTGTGCCTGCATTTTCTATTTATGTACATGTATGTGTGCGCTTGCGCATGTGTGTGTGTGTGTGTGTGCGTACATGTACGTGTGTGTGTGTGTACGTGTGTGTATTTGTGTATGTGTGTATATGTGTCCTTATGTTCACGTATTTGAAATGCGCCATGCTCAGACGTAAGCGCCCTGAAGATCAGCAACTACCGACTGCCGTGCGAAGTCCTGAACAGCCTTGATCCGTCGTTTAATGCCAACGCGATCTGCGTGAACAAGACCTATCACACACTGAGGGATTACGTCAGGGCCATCTCGTCCAATGCCAGATTTGGCGCGTACGATGACCTGGACTTGTTGATGAGTGGTGGTGGTTCAGGGCTGGTGGAACGCATTCGTGAGACTCAGGGAATCACGGCCCTGTGTGACCGCTTCTTGAAGACGAAGACGATCAGCATTCGGCCGGAGTGCGTGGAGCTGACGCCGACGTTCCTTCGCTATCTGGCGCAGCTGGACGAGACAGACTTCAGACACCCGTCGTACCGGGCTCTGCTCGAGACCCACGGCACTCACGTTATCGTCGGCGTGCACATGGGCGGTCGTCTACAGGCACACAGCTTGATATCGGCGTGCCACGCGGAGAACTTCCGCAGCGCTAAGGCAACGGTGGATGCGGGCCTCCTGGACGTCATCAACTTCCACCTAGGAGTGAAGAGCAGCTTGTCTCAGGCGGCGCGGGACGTCAACGCACAGGCATCTGTCACCGTCCACGGTGGCAACGCCAGCTATACAAACTTCTCGCGGTGGATGGACTATGCGCACTCTGTACGCGGCCAGGAGGCGGTGATCAGCTTCAGTGAGTTGAAGCCGCTCGACGAGCTAGTCGAGTGTAGCGTCAGTACGGCAGACGACATTCCCCGCATGGCCAGGATTGCGCCGCTACTCAGGATGGCCCTGCACGACTACATCAACAGCTCTCAGATCGCACCGCCGCATGGCTTCAGCGGTGCCGTCCCGCTTGCTGACTACTGCAAGAAAGTTGTGTAGTACTACTATGTGTTGCAAGTTACAGTGGGCCGTTGGTTGCCTGCTGAAACCCGCAGATTTCTGCGCTGCAAATTCGCCCTGCATGCTATATCTTTTCCTTCTTTTTACCATGGTTGGCTATCACCCACATCTTCCCGTTTTGGCTGCCATCGGAAGCCTTAAGATGTTGAATGAATAGGATGAGCTTTCTTTTTTTATGGCAGCTTAAGCGAAGGCTATATACCTGCTTTATGCAGGTTGATGCCAACGCGAACAAGCAAAATAATAATAATAATGAATAAATATATATATGCTAAGTGGTTACTCAATCTGCGGACAGAACTGTTTCGTCCTTTGTGGACTCGTCAGCGCAGCACAGAGAAAATGAGGCCGAACCTGATAGCAATGGAAATATAAATTTCCAATCAGGCCCGAACGTACCTTGCCAGAGTGCTCAAACTGACAAGTCAGTGCTAAGTGGTTATATGGTCTCCATGGTTACACTCTGATCATGATGTCATTATCCGAAAAGTGGTGTACCAACTACACTACGTCCTGACTACAGTCCATTCAGAAAAAAATGAACTTCTAGCTTTTGGCCATAAATGGGTCAAACGTTGAGTTTTTTTAGAAATTTTTTCTGCAATCCCATATGGAATCCTCTTCCAATTATGTTTCTGAAGTTTTTTTGTCCAAAAAGTAAGCCATAGGAAGAATAGGATTTCGGCCAGGTTTTGCCCCAAAAGCACTGAATTGGGAAAAACCATCAAAATCCAGGCCGTTTGACCCCGCCTGCAACAGTGCATTCTGCGGTTCGAACCCCTTTTTGGACCCTTTTTCAAATTTCAAAGTTCGCAGCACTGCACTGTGTACGATGAAATCACGAAAAATCGCCAAATACGGGAGCTCGCCAGAGCCAGGACCCATCTTTTTATGAATGGACTGTAGGCATATGCGGATAATGCGGGCAGAAAAATTGGCAGAATTCGGTACTTTTTCTGGTAAGTTTCATGCATGTTTGGTATGGGGATAAAGAAATGGAGCAGAATTCGAGGAATTGCCCGCCATAAGATTTGTATGGTTATGCCAATTTCACTGCTTTTCGAGCAGAATCTGCCAACTTTACGAGCATTATCCGCACACCCCTAGTCCTGACTAACCGAGTCAGCAGAGAGGTTGAGTCAGCGGTGCACAGTGTGGAACAAATGGTCTGTAGAAGTTAACGAAGCCGAGGAACCTCCGCAGTTGACGAACAGAGGTAGGCTGCTCAAAGGCTTGGATAGCAGCAACACGATCGGGCAGCGGAGCGATGCCAGCTGGAGAGACATGATGCCCTAGGAAGTTGAGACTCGACTTGGCAAACTCACACTTGTGCGGTTGAATGAACAGCTCGTGCTCTGAGAGGCACTGAAATAACTTATGGAGATGTACACGATGTTCGTCGAGAGAATTACTGGCGATTAGGAAATCGTCAATGTAGCCGTAAACGAACGGCAAACCGCGGAGGACTTGGTCAAGGAAGCGCTGAAAACTCTGTGCAGCATTACGCAGGCCGAAAGGCATCCGAAGGCACTCGAACAGGCCGAATGGCGTTGTGATGGCAGTTTTCAGAATGTCGTTAGGATGGACGGGCACTTGATGGTATGCTTTGACCTGGTCGAGCTTGGTGAAGACCGTGCAGCCAGCAAGGTTAGCGGCGAAATCGTGAAGTTGAGGAATCGGGTAGCGATCAGGCTCAGTGATGGCGTTCAGGGCGCGATAATCGCCACAGGGGCGCCAATCTCCGGACTTTTTCTGAACCATGTGCAGAGGAGAAGCCCAAGGACTAGATGAAGGCTGGATGATACCCTGTTGGAGCAAGACGTCAAACTCAGCGCGAGCAGCTATGAGCTTGTCTGGTGACAGACGACGGGGCGAGCAAACTGAGGTGGGCCGTGGGTGGTAATCACATGCTGAATGCTGTGCTTTACAGGGCCCAGAGCTACATTGGCCTGTGGCAGCAACTCAGGAAAGTCACGTAGAATAGCAGTAGTGAGGTTAGGGGCACGTGTATGCCTTTGTCAAAATTAGCGAATCAACACAAATAGTCATGGCTGCAGGCACCCCCTTCCTGCAGCTGCCTACTGCAATACAGTGAGCCAAGGATACAGTCAGCCAGGGATTCAACCAGCCGGGAGTTGAACCAGCCAGGGATTCAACCAGCCGGGAGTTGAACCAGCCAGGGATTCAACCAGCCGGGAGTTGAACCAGCCAGGGATTCAACCAGCCGGGAGTTGAACCAGCCAGGGATCCAACCAGCTCAGCATGCCACCAGTCAGGGATTCAACCAGCCGGGAGTTGAACCAGCCAGGGATCCAACCAGCTCAGCATGCCACCAGTTTGTTTTATTTTTTATTACAATGTACATGACTGTATTTCACGAAAAAAGCATGCCACCAGTCAGGGATTCAACCAGCTTGGCATGCCACCAGTCAGGGATTCAACCAGCTTGGCATGCCACCAGTCAGGGATTCAACCAGCTTGGCATGCCACCAGTCAGGGATTCAACCAGCTTGGCATGCCACCAGTCAGGGATTCAACCAGCTTGGCATGCCACCAGTCAGGGATTCAACCAGCTTGGCATGCCACCAGTCAGGGATTCAACCACTGAGCTTGGCATGCCACCAGTCAGGGATTCAACCAGCCAGGAGTTGAATCAGCCAGGGATCCAAGCAGCTCAGCATGCAACCAGCCAGGGATTCAACCAGCTTGGCATGCCACCACTGGCACCAGACAGGGATTCAAGCAGCCAGGGATTAAACCCAGAAACGCATGGACACTACTAGCAATCTAACAATAACATCTGATTAGAGTAGCTATCTGAGCATAGCTACATGTAAATATTGGCTACACACAGATTGCTGGACACGCTCCGTTGTTGTATGGAATTCATACAAATTATTATAACAGAAGAAAATCATATTTCGAAATTGGCCGTAGCACTGAGCATTCGTGTCTCGTGTTTACATGCTAACATTTACCCAGACAATAGTCTTGGCAAGAACACAGCTGAGAGGGCAAGAAGGATACAAATGTTACCAGCGGCGATGGATGTAACTTTTATCATTGTCGGCGGTGAAGGTGCTGATGATGGCGGCGGGGTGGCACAGGGAGCAGCAGGCTGCATTGCTGCCTTGGCATTCTCAGCTATGTACTTGGTCCATGCTTTCTTCCAGGTCTGGCGCAGTAGAGCGAAGTTTACCATGCCACCCTTCTCACCCTGATGAGTGTGCAGGCTGGCCGGCGAGACTAGCTCGTAAATCGGAACGAGGGTGGCCTCGCTGGACACGTCCAGTTGGGAAATGTGTTCCGGCACCTTGTCAACAAGTGTACGCCAGTAGCTAACCTTAGGTGACACTCCGCCGGACGTTGAGCTCTGACTGATGGCCGCCGTATCAGACGTGCTAGTAGAGTAGCCCAGGGAATTGCCAAAGCCGGCCTGAAGAGCCGCGTCGGCAGAAGCTGCAAAGCCGCCAGCTCCCGTCGAGCTGGAGTAAGCGGATTTCAGCGAGCACTTGTCCATATAGGCCGTAGTGAGAACGCTACCACCGTAGTCAATAGCGGTGATGAAGTGAGTACCCCATGTCTTCAGTAGCTGGTTGAAGTAGGGATCATCTGCGTCTGACTCGTTCACCTCGGAAAAGATGGCTGACAGCTCTCCTCCCAGCTCCAGGCATCCGAAGTCTGGCAGAGTGCCAGTTGCCAAGACAACGCGTCTCCGATTCTCAGCGAACACATAGTTGTTCTGATCTTGTATGCGTTGCTGTTGCGAATACTGGAATTTGAATCCCAGAGCGACATCTTCCACTACGCCCAACAGTCCCAGTTTGCCTTGAACGCTGCGCGAATAATCCATACTAGTCAAAAACGAGACCGTGTCGCGATCGCGATGCTCTGACGGTGGATCATAAAACCTCACCGAGGCTTGACACGGCATAACACACTGCAAATCGTAGCGCACACTATCGCTCTTGCGGCCAGATGGGGAGTCCTCATTGCACGCATACAGATTGAAGACGGGGCGTCGTATGAACTCCGACAATTGATAGTTATTGTATTCAGTGATGTCCACGGAATATCCCAGATGGCAATAGCCTTTACCCGGTGCAAGCCTCGCAGGCTCGCATTGCTGTGTGCTCTGGCAGTTTTGTTGACTAAGCGAACAGCTCTGTATGAACTGCTCAGGCGTTAGCTCCGTGCGCACAACAGGAATAACGTGACCGCTCAGCGTGGCGACAAGAAGCAAGTATCTTGCCAGTGTTGCTATTGCCGAGGTCATCCATGCGGAGAGGCGCGCCGCCATCCTTGGCAGCGCTGTTCAGAAAGAGCGCAGAACAACAGTACCGCATGCACAACTAGTATCTGCCCGGTACAACAAAGAAAAGAGAAAGGGGAAATGGCAGCGTTCCAACCTTCGAAACTTCTTCAGTCAGCCTAAGATCGGTCGCGTCGATCTCGTCTGTGCGATCGTAATAATCGTGAGTCTGTTAACGGACTCGGAGCGGAAGGAACGCATGAGGACGGGGATTACCCCGCCCGTGGGTGCTGACATGTTGTTGACGCCAGGACTTTGCCGAACCGAAACCAGCCGATCTACACTACAGACTGCATGTAGTGTAGAGCTAGCTGGTAGAGTGTAGACTGACAGTCTGTAGCCGCGCCAGCACCGGATACTTCTAGAGAATTCTATGTGACATGTGACATGTGACAACAGTAATGTTGCTCCCCGAGTCTGCACTGCTGGAACGATAGATCGTGAGGCAGGCCTCCTACTCCGAAGCGAAACCTGGCTAACGTTTACAGTGGGCTCTTTCGATTACGCAGTCACACACAAGACAAGTAAGTATTACTAGTAGTAGTAGTTAGTTCTGGACCCAGGTTTCAGTATCACATTGCGTGTATATGTAGATCTACATTTTGTAGACTCTACACGGTTATCAAGACTTGGTAAGTGCCATGCGCTTGTCGCCTGATGTCTACGGATCGATCGCTACCGCTACCATGTAGATCTACTAGTAGTCTACAGTACAGGTCAGTACAGCATCATGGGGCAGACCTGGTCCCTTGCGTTCGAATTACTATCCTCCAGCAAGTATCTCCAATGTTTCAATGGGCAATGCTCATGGTAAACTCTTCTAACCACTCACAGACTCCTGCAATATTCATGGTCACTAGTTGGGCGGATCGGACAGATAGGGTGCCCATCGAAGAAGGGAGTCTCACGAATAGGTGACGTGGAGGGCGGCAGAGCGGCAAGAGACTTGTAAGTTGTAGCAGCGATACAGACGAACCACGCTTCAGTTTTGATTTGCAGCGAGTTACGCCTGCATGTCTGGTGTTTCTTGGGCGCGTTCGCAGACGCTGACTGGTACGGCAGTATACGTCCTTTTGCTGGAGGTACCCAGTACTGGTAGTAGATCTACAGCTGTTGTTTATCCTACCGATCAGGGGACTCGAGTCGCGAGGTACAGTGGGTTTGCTGAGAGCTGCCAATGCCACTAGACCATCATCATCATGCTCGTGTGTGCAACTAAGGGGAGTGGTCGCTCCGGCAAGTTCGGCGTGCGGGCTGCGTACATGTACACACCGCCAGTCCTAGCGGACTACATACACGTTGTCCTATTGGTCCTTGCTAGCGTATTGCAGATGGCACTGAGGAGCGACGCATTATACTGTCCATCCGGCTCACAGCTACCCCAGATCTGCCTGAACGAGAGACGGCAGGAAGGTTACTCGTGCGAAACTCCGAACTGCGAGATCGATTTCGACAACAACGTGCACGACGGTCTGCCGCTCGGACGGGGCTTCGACTTTTCCAAGGCTACAGACACCATCTACACGAATAAGCCGGCCATTCTGGCCGTCAAATACTGCAAAGGTACGCCCGCCCGCTAGGCATGTACATGAGTGTGTTGTAGACGCTTAGGAACTATAATACAGCTCAGCTAGTCAGACCTGGTTTGTCAAACAGCATCCATTTAGCAGCTGCACAAAAGGTATACAAGGGAAAGTAGGGCTTTTTAAAACAGTTGTTGCAACGCAGAGTTGTCATGGTAACAATCATTAGACCAGCACCTCTATTTCATTCCTTGGTGCTGACCGCTTTAATGCGCTTCCCGAATCCCTTCGCACAAATCATATCCCCAATTCATTTCGCCATGAACTTAACAATTTCATTCATCTTGGGCACCCTGTAAGAAGACCTTAGGGTCTGTTGGGAATAGGTGTTGGCGGATAATGCCGGCATTATATCGAGCATTATACACCACCCGGAGCATTACGAGCATAAAGCATTACGAGGCCAAAAATGGCATTATACGGCCCAGTATCAGCGAGAATCGACCTTCGGGTGAAAATCATTTTTTTCAGAATAAGGCATTTTCTGCAGCGGCAAAAAACTCTTGCTTCGCGCTCTGCACATTCAAACAAAAAATTAGTTCATCGCAACAATGAATGCTTTTGATCGTCCCAGTAGCAGGAGAGTTCACTCACGATGGCCAGCTAGCTGCCGTCCGGCTCCGCCAGAAGTCATTGCATTTCCTAGGGAGGAATCGTCGCGCCTGATAGAGAACGACGACAGTTTCCAGAAGATGTTTTTTGTCGACGCGCAATTCCTATTTAGCAACGAGAATTTCAACTTGATATAGGCGCTCCGCCAAAGGAGCTCTCTGCTGGCAAAAGTACTTTCTGACATCTGAAAATCCTTGTAGGGCCCTTCTGAATTTAGTACAGCTCCGCTCAGGAGAAATACTCAACGAGGAGAAACTAGTCTAGTGAGGCGACAGCAACAGAGGTAGACGAACTGAAACGCCCTGGATCAACTCGAGTCAGGACGAAAGGGCGCTGCCGCTAGTGACATGATCTGAATTATTTTCCCAGGCTCCCACACTGGACTCCGTGGTGAACACCAAACCCCTTGGACGGGGCAAGAGATGAACATTGATTGATGAGCTACGAACTCTCTGCGCTCAGTGCTGGAATCATGGCGCACTGACGCGCATGCAGCCAGTTCCCACAGAGCTCATATTTCACAGAGGTGCAGCAGTGATGGACTACCTCTAAATCGTGTATGACTATGAGATGAAGTGTGGGGTGTTACTGTTAGAATGTTGTGCCTGTGTGGTATTCCCTGTGGGGTGCACAGACTGGGACTCCAGGTGTAGTTGTAGCCACCCTCCCTCCTGTTCTGCACTTCTGTGGATTTTCAGCAGACTTGCGATGGCGTTCAAACAGTTTTCATTGGTATGCAGTGATGAGGATCAAGACCATCCATGCTCTATGCCAGAGGTTGCCCAAGAGTTGTTTTACAATAAAAATTGGATGGATGATATATTACATTGTCTATTTTTTATTTATTTCACTGTAACACATAGTATTCCGATGTGGAAAACACTGTGATAAATTGTTGTATTTCCTGATATGTGCCTATGCTGGTTTGAGAAGCTTCTGGGTCATCAATATGGCTTTGTTCGGTCTAATACTTTGCCATGTGATCATTCGATACCTATAGATGACAACAGCAGAAAAAAGTCATTTTGTGAAAAATCACCCTAAGGTCCATTTCCGCAGATACTGGGTCGTATTACGACGTTCTACATGACTGCATAGTTGATCTACACACATCGGCAGTTCGTCATGTACAGATTTTTATCGGCTATAGCGTTGGTCCTTGATTGGCAACATATATACGCGATGTATTACTAAAAGCAAGAGTACTTTTTTGTTGGTTTATGTACTCTTGCTACAACTTCAAGTACAAGTACAAGCGATAGACCACCGTACACATCATGCATGGTACATGGTACCAAACAGATCGTGGCACGCAGTGCCAGGCCCAGTATACCAGGTATACTGCAGTCTGCATGCAGTAGTGCTAGCTCGAGTAGCTGTGGTCCAGCACCGAGCACAGTGTGGAAACTCTCGCAGAAACTTCCGGTCCCGGAAGTCTATCTTAATAGGTAACAACGCCGAACCAACGAAACAAATGTGAACCAGGATGGAACGGTGGAGGTGCGCACACGCACACATTCCAGACCTTACCCGGTTACCGTCCACAATGTTACAAAAAAACAATCTTCATCTAAGCAAGTGTCAATGTCTTTGTCGAAGAGTATCGCTGGACTTTCACCGGACATTGACCATTGTGTAAGACCAGCTAACTAGCAGCCAACGCTGATGGCTGACTCGCCGCGTTGCTATTCTTGGGATTGGGAGGAAGCTGGGCTTTCTCCAGATGAGCTTTTGGCGGATAGTGACGTCGTCGAGTTGGAAACTGCAGATCCTGCCGCCGCGATAGCGAGGAAGCGTTCTTTTCAGAAAACAGCTATTACCAAGTCTGAAAATGTTTCCAAAAAGACGCGAGTAGCTCATGGACAGAGCACTGAAGTGGCCATCAGTGCCGAAACACGGGTGCGGGAGTTCCCAGATGAGCCGCTCAAAAGCGACTGTGGCAAGTAACTAGTGTGCCTGGCATGCCATACAACATTGTCAGGGAAGAAGAGTATAATCATGTCCCATATTGCTACCGCGAGACATAAACAAGGAAAGTCCCGTTTGGAGAGGGAAACTCAGAGGCAGAAGCTGGCCAAGAAGTCCTTCTTGGCGTATCCTCTTTGTGCCGCCTCAATATGACTACATGTGTTTGTACGTGTAACCTAGCGTACATGTATACCTGATATTGTATTATGTGTTTATCATAGCATGGGTGCAATATTATAGCGTTTTTCTTAGCCCAATACCGCAAGGTTCAGGTGTTTATATTCCATCCGGCGGAGCATTATCAGCATTATTTGGAGCATTATATGGCCTTTTGTGGAGCATTACTGAGAGCATTATATCCCATATTACCGAGCATTATCCGCCAACACCTAGTTGGGAATGCCCAAGTAAAATAATAAAATACAATACAAAAAAATACCTACATAATTATACATTTTTCTGCGGGTTTACGGAGGCTAGGCTGCTTGGTTAATAACGAGCTTGCAGACATGATATCAATTTCAGTTCAATCACTTGTAGCAACCTGGTTATTTAGTCTTCAATAGGTGCAGGTGAGGTTCAATGTGCTTCCTGCCGTCTGTGTGCCTTCATTTTCTATGAATGTGTGCGTTTGTGTGTATGTGTGTGTGTGTGTACATGTACGTGTGTGTGTGTACGTGTGTGCACGTGTGTGCACGTGTGTGCACGTGTGTGTACGTGTGTGCACGTGTGTGTGTGTACATGTGTTTATATGTGTCCTTATGTTCACGCATTTGAAATGCGCCATGCTCAGACGTAAGCAACCTGAAGACCAGCAACTACCGACTGCCGTGCGAAGTCCTGAACATCCTTGATCGGTCGTTTGATGCCAACTCGATCTGCGTGAACAAGACCTATCACACACTGAGGGATTACGTCAGGGCCATCTCGTCCAATGCCAGATTTGGCACGTACGATGACCTGGACTTGTTGATGAGTGGTGGTGGTTCAGGGCTGGTGGAACGCATGCGTGAGACTCAGGGAATCACGGCCCTGTGCGACCGCTTCTTGAAGACGAAGACGATCAGCATTCGGCCGGAGTGCGTGGAGCTGACGCCGACATTCCTTCGCTATCTGGCGCAGCTGGACGAGACAGACTTCAGACACCCGTCGTACCGGGCTCTGATCGAGACCCACGGCACTCACGTTATCGTCGGCGTGCACATGGGCGGTCGCCTACAGGCACACAGCTTGATATCGGCGTGCCACGCGGAGAACTTCCGCAGCGCTAAGGCAACGGTGGATGCGGGCCTCCTGGACGTCATCAACTTCCACCTGGGAGTGAAGAGCAGCTTGTCTCAGGCGGCGCGGGACGTCAACGCACAGGCATCAGTCACCGTCTACGGTGGCAACGCCAGCTATACAAACTTCTCGCAGTGGATCGACTATGCGCACTCTGTACGCGGCCAGGAGGCGGTGATCAGCTTCAGTGAGTTGAAGCCACTCGATGAGCTAGTCGAGTGTAGCGTCAGTACGGCAGACGACATTCCACGCATTGCCAGGATTGCGCCGCTACTCAGGATGGCCCTGGACGACTACATCAACAGCTCTCAGATCGCACCGCCGCATGGCTTCAGCGGTGCCGTCCCGCTTGCTGACTACTGCAAGAAAGTTGTGTAGTACTACTATGTGTTGCAAGTTACAGTGGGCCGCTGGTTGCCTGCAGGACTCTGCGCTGCAAATTCGCACTGCATGCTATATCTTTTCCTTCTTTTTACCATGGTTGGCTATCACCCACATCTTCCCGTTTTGGCTGCCATCGGAAGCCTCAAGATGTTGAATGAATAAATATTATGCTAAGTGGTTATATGGTCTCCATGGTTACACTCTGATCATGATGTCATCATCCGAAAAGTGGTGTACCAACTACACTACGTCCTGACTAACGGAGTCAGTTTTATTTCATTTTAATACATGCATGACATGTACATGTACATGACTGCATGTATATCCTGAGCCAGACGCTGTCAGTGGCTGAGTGGAGTCAAACTGCAGGGGAACTGTCACTGGTACATCAGAGACCTATGCCGCATGCCTAGCGGCCTGAGCGTGCTGGCAGTGTCACGAATATGAAATGGACATTCGCTGCCTGCTGTACTCTTGTTTCCACAATTCCCTCGTTACGGCCATGTTTGCTTCTATCTCCTGGCCATCAACATTTGAATACATGTACACACTAGTCAAAACAACAGTTGGCCCAGTCCCCAGCGTTTTAAGTTTGGTGCCATCTTATACATTCATCAAGTGCCACGGTATGAACGTCATCAGTGTAGGTGTGGACTATCGTCGGGCCAGCTGTTGCTTTCACTAGTGACCGTAGTGTTCCACGTGCTGCTTCTGTTGTATTGAGCGCTCTTGGAGTTCTACAGCTTTCTCACTGTCTTGTATAACTAATTACTTATATTCTTGTTTGGCCCGGAGTAACATAATACAGGTATTATACCTGCATGTCCACGGGCCAGACTAGGATGTAGTTTTCGCACTATTACTTTTCGCTACACGTAGATCTACAATGTACGAGGCCGGGCGAGTGGCCGAGGGCCCGCACGCCAACAACAAAATGGCGCCGCATGGAACGCACGCCGGAAAGAGTTCTCGCCTGGGAGTCGTACAACTGTCTTGTTCTCGCCTCTCGGTCTTCTGAGTTCTTACCTGCATGCGGGTTTTTCACGAGCTGTGAGGCACAGAGCTGACGAGGCAGGTGATACCGGCGACACCACCGTGGACACCGTGGATACCGTGCCAAAGAGCAAAACGAACAGCTGGAGGTTGCTTGGCTCTTTTTGCTCAAAGCTGCGACCGAAGAATGTTTGCTGCTTTTTATTCCTGGCTACCCAATGTCAACCATGCCGGTCAACATTGCGTGTGCGACGGCGTGTGTGAGTGCGTGTACAGCTAGCGACGCTTCCTAGTAATTTCTGGCCACAGTGACTACCGTAGCGGTGCAGGGTTGCATGGTTTCGAGTGGAGCATTTGTAGGAGTCCGAGTCAGTCAGTGACCCTGTTTTCCGCCGCCAATGAAACTGATGGCAATAACCGTAAGGCAGGGCAATGCAGCAGTTCGTGTTGCTCCTCCGTGTTCTCATAGTTCTTTTGAATTGGCACGGACCGGTCCTGTTCAAGTGTGCTATCCATGCAGGATGATACTATCCTGGAACCCCAAGCTCCAGACCAAGCAGGCAAGCAAGCTGCAGGTGTTGCGAAGTCGGAAGCTTACAAGTTACCCCGAACTGACTGGCTGCTGTAACGACGTCAATGCACATACTCCTACTGGCCACACGGCCGAGAACTGTTACTTCTTTTGCCAGCGGTCATGCGACTAGACTGTATATCGGTATGCCAATGCTCTGTCCAGTCCGAGCTTCAGCGCGGAGTTGCTCAGGTTAGGTCATGCAGATTTTCTACAAGCAAGACTCGGGTGGAGTCTTTTAAATTTACGTTCTATAGTACACGCAAAAGGCACTATCTATCTCTTTATCCTTCTCCCTCTTTCTCTCCATCTTTCCATCTTGCCTCTCTCTATCACACTAACGGAGTTTGTCAGAACTCTGAGTTTAGACACACTCCGAAACCTTTCCATTGTGCCTTTTGCGTGTACTACTGCCCCACATTATTGTGTTGAGTCCTTTCCACTGGCTAAAGCCTAAAGGGAAGTTTCCTCTTTGTGCTTTCTACAGTACAGTGCCGATTACCCGCACCCATCGGGACGCGGGCTGTCTCCAGGGGGTTCTGATGAGGAGAAAGTTCGGATAAGAGAGCAGTCACACATCCGTCTACATTCATTGGAAACGGGCACCCTAACTTTTTGGCGTCTCCCACACATACATGTAGTTGCAGATTTCGTGAAAATAACAGTGCATCCTGCATTGTGTGACCCGTGCAATTATTCCTTGCCACATTTGAGGCCAAAAAAGTCCAAGAACGGGGAAATAGAAATTCAGCCAGGTTTTACAAAATTAGGACAGGTATGCCATGGAATCATAGTAATGTATTGAGAAGCAGATCCAAAACCCAGATTTTTGAGATTTAATTAAAGTGAGTTTTTGATCCTCAATTCGGCCCAAAATCCGACTTTCAAAAGCCAGTTGGACTGTTTCCGATGAATGGACTGTTGCGTTTGTTTGGTTATGCCGGAAATCGGCGTGGGATGCATTTGATCTGCATCTCGGAATCAGAATGAGGGTACCAAACAAACTGTGGCCCACAAGCACTAGGATTCTGGCAAAACAAATTGCAACTATCTCGACAGTTTTCACTCGCGAATTGAAACCTGCTACAAGTATGTACACTCCGACATTGTACATTGGTTATCCGGACCACGAAGTTACGGGCACTTCGGTCTACCGGGCACCCTTTGGGCGAGTTTCGGAGGAAATTATTCCTACTCTTTTGTTGAAATAGTGACGTCATAGTTATTTTGAACTCTGGTCCACCTCAAATTATTTTCAAATGGCCAAGTTTGTCGCTACTTCTGAGTTTTCTGTGTGTAAACCGGTAGGCCATATCTATGGCATTTCCCCATCAACATGTACCTGTATGTGATTCGCAGTTACGGACATTTTTAAAGGTTACGGGCAGTGCTTGGTCCCGGACCACCCGGATAAACGAGTTAAAGTGTAGTCCAGAGTACATAACCCCCAACAGGCGCGTGTGCCGGTGCCCTTCAAGGGGGCCTCCCGCGGGGAAATGTTTCAAAAAATGAAGCAAAATCCTGCATTTTGAGCGAAAAAAGGGTGGGTTCCGGGCACCCAGGAACCCATACGGGGCACGTGCCTGCCCAAGAGTATGCAACTCCACTATGGGTGCTGCCCCGGCAGAATTTCAAATTGACATAATTTTTATGATGCAATGCGCATTGTACACGTCTAATGAGACGTGTCCTGGACCCGTGGTGGACAAGTCCGCGATTCGGCTTGATCTTGTACAAGGAAACATGTGTGATGCACATACAAACATCGTAAATCACTCATGCGGAGACCATTGCATCATAAAAGATGACTTCGACTTGAAATTCTGTCGGAACAGCAGGGATGTGGGAGTAGCACACTCTTGGGGGTTATGTACTCTTGTTGTGGGTGTGCTCATACAAATGGCCCAGTGAAGTGAGTAACAGCTAGACTTCTCAAGCCAAGAGAACCCCGAAAAGGAAACATTCGTCAACATCTACAGATAGATCATTACTGAAGACATCCAAAGAGAAAAGGCAACTGCAGTTCTAAGAAGTTTCAGGTTATGCCATGGATCAGCAAACCAGAAGTACACTGTGATTTCCTCTATAGATGTCCAAGCCAGCCTTGCATGGCGATGACGAGAAACGCGAGGGCACCTTTGCAGTACATTATGTTTCGACAGTTTCGCGTCACCTTATTCGATGAAATCAATGAGGGAGGGCGAAAAAAATAAAAAAAGCCATCCAAAAAAAACAGTGTACGTGCATTGCATTAGTGTACAGTGAAGCGACGCGGCACTGTTCATGTACATGAATACATGAGTGTATTTTTTTCACTGGTTTGTTGACAATGCAACTCAATTTTTGTTATTGTGGCAAGGTCACAACAATAAGAGACAAGATCAAAAGGAAAGCTTTACAATAATAATAATAATAATAAAAATAAAACGTAGCCTGTAAAATGTAAAAAATCACTGAGTACAGTTTAATTCAAAAATCCATGTCCAGTATTTATAATAAAAACAATCTGCTGCAATTTATAGATTCTCACATGCGAGCAACCTGGGCCTCAGCAACAACCAGCTCAGCAGACTCCGGATGCCGAACCGATCGCTCACAGAAAAGACCCCGTGAACCCCGCAAACACATGATGCATGATCGCAGCAGGGCAAATGAGAGACGGCATCTGATGTAAGATATTACGTGGGAGTACTGCTCCTTCCTCCTTTCCGCTCTCAATAACGCGATTCGGCGATAGAGCGATGTCGCCGCTCTTCCCATGCCACCACTTGCCGACAGCACAACAGGCATGAACGTCGCATACTCCACCTCTCTCACTCTCTCTTCATAACATCGTCGCTTTTCTTTTTCATGGCGCCGATAGACAGTGGTGTGTGGTGCATATCGATTTGAGCGTGCATGAGGATTAAAACCCCGTATATCAAGTAAAGTACGCTCAAAACGACTGCCCCACAAACCACTGACCGCTACATCAAGCCGCGCATGCTCCTCCACAATAGCAGACCTGTATCTCATTCTCTCTCCAGTGAGTGGCTGCAGCAGTGGCTCAATGGAGACATTGTGACAGGTCTCTTGAAGGAGAGAGGCTGTCAAATCCCGGATCTCATTATGGCGGATAATGGTAAACCCACCAAGGGGACATGACAAGGCATGGTCAATACCATTGTCCCGTCCACAAGAGCAATGAGTTGGTAACCTCGGCGGCATCCAGCCATAACGGAGGCACAAGCTGTCCATGAACTCAGCTTTGCTCAGTGAAAAGCCATACTTTTTCAATGGACGGCAAGTCAGCCAACTTGAGGCGCCAGGTTCACGGCGAGGACAATGGTGTGTCGCAAGGCGTCCGACGCATCATTGCTGATACGCCGTGCCGACTCCGCCTAGCTATGACGCACTTCCTTCTTCCTCTTCGCCTTCTCCCGCAGTACATCATGTCGGCTGACACTTTCTCTGGCAGCAGGGGACAAAATGCCATGAAAAAACTACAGCACCAGCATATACAATGGCTCGACAATGTTCACCGGACCGTGATTTTCGCATGAGGGGAGCCACATTTGAAGTGTTGTAGATGGACACAGTGTCTGCTCTAGGATTGTAGGACAGCCGGGTACACGTGTACCTGGCGCAACCATTTCAACCGGGTCGGAGCCGGGTACACATGTACAGTGTACCTGGCGCTGTCTCACCAGCCGAGTCACATGCTTTAACCGGTTGGTTGTTTTTTCGGACAATAGGAACCTTTCGCATTTCCTACGAATCGAATGCGAAACGAAAGTTTGATTCGGCTCGTAATCATTTCCTTGAAAACAGAATTCAGGTTTCGCAAGTCGTCATGCAAGTGACCATGGCAACTACGAATACGGCCAGGAGCTTGGCGAGTTGGCGTACGGGTGTTTACCCGGACACGTGCATGGATCATGGAATCAAGGGAAAAATGTGTACCTGGCAAAACATGTGTACCTGGCCAAATAAATGTGTACCTGACGGATTCGGAGCGTGCCACGAATGAAGAGGCTTCCATTCGTGAAAACGAGCTCTCCGCAGGGACTCTGACGAATCCTCGAACCCAGGTGATGAATCAGCATTCGTTTCGTATCCGTACGCGTGGTGCGAAAGGTCCCTAATAAACGGGAACTAGGCCCAATGATATAAAGGCGAATGGATAAGCCGCATTTAGAAAAGAGAGGACAAGAATTAGAAAATTACGAAAGAAGAAGAAGTATCTGACACATACTTGTGCAAGCCATGTAGTCAGTCTAGCTGCATCTCATGTTTGGCATTAAGTGGTCTTTGTAAAAAAAATAAAAAAAGTCCTTTCAAAGTTCGAAAGTGTAAAGTACCAACCGGGTAACAGGTGACCCGGTACTATGATTTCAACCGGGTCCAAGCGCCGCCCGGGTGGATTGCCCGGCTCACCCGGCGCTGGAGCAGACACTGGGACACAAAAAACTTTGTCAGCATCACAGACACTGAAGTGCTTCACCGCTCGCCCACTCATCATCAACAGACACCCTGCTTCCAACTTACAACCCTGAGCTTGGAAAGCACTGCATACTATACCTGGCACACATTTTAATTCCACGTGGAATGAGTACTCATTCCACTTTTTCTTTGGAACCCTCCAAAAATCGATTCTACCCCATTCTTACTGAGACCGGAATGGGAATCGTGCCAAATATACGATGCCGAAGGCACCAAACAAACTCAGTGCCAGGGACCCCAAACCCTTGGAATGACACCGAACAAACGCAACCTACGTCCATGCACATTCCCATCATTTCTTATTCTCTTTGTCAGTTCCACAGGAACTAAAAAATACTCTAGCTCGATCCTAAAATGAAACTACTGTACGGTGATCCAGTGTCATTCCAACCTGTTGCAAAACATATTGCGAACCGCTTGAATGGTGCTCTGGGTGGGGAAAATGAGCAAGAACTCATTTTTGTCAATTCAATGGAAGCTAGTTTTTTGGTTAACGATCGTTGGGCAGTTGATGTTCGGATAGTCGGCATTCTACAGCATGCATATTGGCATTCCTTGTCATTGAACACAACAACATTCATGCACATGTACCTGCACTTTTATACCCCCCCCCCCCCTCTTACCCCTGCCACATGCACTTTTATATCCCCCCCCCCTGCCACATGCACTTTTATATCCCCCCCCCCCCCCCCTCCACACACGCGCGCGCACACACACACACACACACACAAGGAAGAAAACCCCCATTAGGACTGTTTAGCCTATGTCGATAGGCAGTCTCTAGGCAACAATGCATGTGCGGAGATTACCCCTATGAAGGGAAAAGCACGATTAGAAATTTAAAATCATTAATTAACGTTAAAACTTAAAACCTATTGTGACTCGAAGACCGTCATTGGTGTCACACGATGCTCTTAGAAGTGAGTGCGTGCAGCTGTAAAAAGCGTATCAGAAACATCTCCAGCAGCCAGAGAAAGCCATACGACAGCCATACAACAAAGACAGCTGCAGTCTGTCACTTGAGGCCGATGGCTTGAGGCAGATTAGAACGATTACTTGTCAATTCCTAGTGTAAGAAATGGTTAGATTGTGGATGGGGCATTGCACCCCACCCCGGAAAGTGGACGGGGCACTTCACTCCACCCCGGAAAGGGGACACATATTCACACACCCACACATTCTCCGCGCGGTAGCAGGATAGGCAGCCTGTAGGTTATACCAGCCGAAAGCACAGTATCCGTACTGGATGGACGCGAGAAGAGCAGTGAATGAAAAGAGTGCTACAAGAGCCATAATTTATTTCTACAAAATCAAAGGACAGCTCTTCGCACAGCCTAGGCAAGTTCGATCAAATAAATAAAATATTACAGTGAAGCGGATCGCACCTATAGCGCTACGATACAGTGTAGACACATTGGCTTTCGGGAAAACTACCCATGCTTTTGTTGCCATTGCTGCTGATGCTGTTGACGCTGTCGATGCTGCAGCTGTTGCTTCTACGAATATGCTAGTTGGCATAATCGTATCGTTAAACATTGCCAACGCTAGTTGTATCCAGAGACCGGCTGGAGATGTGACCAGTCGTGGTGTCGCACTGCTCCTCGCTCAGCCCTTCTTGACAGCTCTGCGTATACTGCGATACTGGCGGGATAGAGCACCAGCAGGCGACGCCGGCGCTGTGATCACCGGCAGACTGGTCTTGGTGCTTAGATGTGTTTTGCCTTTCACTGACTGGGCCCTTGGAGCAGGCACAGTAGGGGCACTCTTTTTCGCTTGTAACTGCTTCCGCTGCTGCTGCTGCTTCTCTGATTGCTCGTCACCTGAAAACAGGATACAAACAAAAGTCCGCAATCTAATTAGAGGTGAACTGGGTACATCATTGTTGCTGCTGTCTGTCTCCCCCTCTTCCTCTCTTGAGAGAGAGAGAGAGAGGAAGAAAGTGAGAGAGAGAGAAAGTGCCATCCCAAACTCTAACCACCATAGACTTTATAGCTTATCCTGGCTCTGAACTTCACATGTGAAATGATTGGTCAACCGCCCTCAGCCAACCAGAGTTCAACAAGTGTTTTCTTCTTGGCCTACTGATTCCTGAACTCTTGTTGAAGAAACCACTTCCTGAACTCTGATTGGCGGAGTGCACAGGGAAGGAGAAACAAACGGGAAAATACTACAGCCGGTGAAAATCTAGATTTTCAAATTTTCAGATTTTAGATTTTCTTCTCAAGTAGATGGTTGTCGGGGTTCGGGATGGCTAGAAATTTCAGGTTTTCTTGTCCTGTAGGATTTTCCGGCTAGTTTCTCCTTCCCGGTGCAGAAACAACAAGAGTGCAGCCATGAGTAGGCCAAGAGTAGGCCAAGAGTGGACACTTCCTGAACTGTGATTGGCTGAGGAAGAGTGTGAGGGTGAGGCGACCATGAAATGGCAGGGGTCCTGGGGCTGTTCCCGGTGAATTCTTTTAGGGAACTTGGGCTCACATAGCCCGTATTCCATGGGATAAATTGCTGCTTTAGTGGTGCTTTGGCTTTGGCCACCCCGACGTCCCTGGGTAATGAGGGAGTGTGTGAGAGAGTCAGTGCGGGTGAGAGAGAGAGAGAGAGAGAGTGTGTGAGAGTGAGAGAGAGAGTGTGTGAGAGTGAGTGTGCGAGAGTGAGTGAGAGTGAGAGTGAGTGTGTGAGAGTGTGTGTATGTGTGTGTGTGTGTGTGTGTGTGTGTGTGTGTGTGTGTGTGTGTGTGTGTGTGTGTGTGTGTGTGTGAGTGAGTGTGTGAGTGAGTGAGTGTGTGTGCGTGTGTGTGTGAGTCTGTGTGTGTGTGTGTGTGTGTGTGTGTGTGTGTGTGTGTGAGTGTGTGTGTGAGAGAGAGTGTGAGAGAGAGTGTGAGAGAGAGAGTATGAGAGAGAGAGAGTATGAGAGAGTGTGAGAGAGAGGGCGAGAGAGAGACGCTCCTGGGGATTGTGTGAGAGAGAGGGTGAGAGAGAGACGCTCCTGGGGATTGTGTGAGAGAGAGGGTGAGAGTGAGGGTGAGACAGCGTGAGACAGAGAGAGAGTGAGAGAGAGTGAGAGTGAGTGAGTACGAGAGAGAGCAAGTGAGTGAGTGAGAGAGAGTGAGAGAGAGTGAGAGAGAGTGAGTATGAGAGAGTGAGAGAGAGTGAGAGAGAGTGAGAGAGGGAGAGTGAGTGAGAGAGGGAGAGTGAGTGAGAGAGAGAGAGAGAGTTAGAGTGAGAGAGTTAGAGTGAGAGAGAGTGTGTGTGTGTGTGTGTGTGTGTGTGTGTGTGTGTCACGGAACGGATGCAGCGCAGATGGAAAGAGCACAGTGCATCAAGGTCGGGCTTCAACGGCACCCAACACTCAGCACAGTACAGAAGCAGAGACAACACGCACGCCCCGTACACAAGCCGCTTCGTAGCAAGTGAGAGGTTGCTGTCAGTGAAAACCGGCTGGCGCAGGGCTCCAAATGCATGTGATGCACTGGCAATGCGCGAGCTGATATCTGCATCCGTTCCGTGATGGGTATCAGCCAGCGGAATGTCTGGGACGAACGACTGACCAGGGTTGATGTTCTGGAGCGGTGGAATCCGCGTCAGCCCTGTGACATCCCCAGCCTGCTGACATCGCGCCGCATGGAGTGGCTTGGGCATGTTGTGCGAATGCATGAGGAGCGTGCCCCGCGTCAACTACTGTTTGGCACCCTACATCCTGTCCGTCCAATGTGCGGCCCGAGGAAAAGGTGGTGCGATGCTGCGCGGAAGGATCTGGCGGCGTTGGGCATCGACGAATGGTATGACTTGGCCCAGGATAGACGGGAATGGCGGGCCGCTTGCAGTGTTCTGCCCCCGCCCGAACCCGTTTGTGAGCCCCTGCGGATACCTTGTGCCGAGTGTGGCCGAGTGTGGCCGTCTCTTCTCCAGGAGTGGTTTGCCTCGTCATAAATGCCTCGATGAGCGCCGCAAACCTGTATCAGAACAGAGAGGTAGCCGACAATGTTCTTCCTGCGAGCGCTGGTTCCGCAGTGCCGGAGGTTTGGCGGTCCACAAGTGCCCCAACTCCCGGATGCTCCCTGCGACATCGTCTCGGGCTCCGTGCCGGGCGGCGGTGTCTACCATTGCTGCTCAGGCGACTCCTCCGCCGCAGCGTGTGCGGCTCGCTCTCTCATGCTGCAAGGCCCACTGTGGGGCCTGTGGCCGATGCTGCCGCTCTACTCGTGGATTCCAAATCCATAGTTGCCGGAGATGGCTCTCTCGTCGTGCCGATTGAACATGGTTCCTGATCTCTCGGCAGACTGCCGACTTTCTGCCGTCGCGCGTCGTTTTCCATGTTGTCGGCCCCGCGAGGGGACACGTGACCGTAATGGCAGTGTTTACCAGGACCAGGTGTGTGTGTATGAGTGCGTGTGGGTGTGTGTGAGTCTGTGTGTGTGTGTGTGTGTGTGTGTGTGAGAGAGAGTGTGTGTGAGAGAGTGTGTGAGAGAGAGTGTGAGAGAGTGTGAGAGAGAGTATGAGAGAGTGTGAGAGAGAGGGCGAGAGAGGGACGCTCCTGGGGATTGTGTGAGAGAGAGAGGGTGATAGAGAGAGAGACGCTCCTGGGGATTGTGTGAGAGAGTGAGAGAGAGAGAGTGAGAGTGAGGGTGAGACAGAGAGAGAGTGAGAGAGAGAGTGAGTGAGTGAGTACGAGAGTGAGTGAGTGAGTGAGAGAGAGAGAGTGAGAGTGAGTGAGTATGAGAGAGAGTGAGTGAGTGAGGAGTGTGAGAGAGAGAGAGAGAGAGTGAGAGAGAGTGCGAGTGAGTGAGAGAGTGAAGAAAGGGAGGTAGTGAAAGGGAGGTAGTGAAAGGGTGGTAGTGAAAGGGAGGTAGTGAAAGGGAGGTAGTGAAAGGGAGGTAGTGAGAAAGAAAGGTGGTAGAACAATGATGAGAAGAATAAGTATAGAACGAGTGAGTCAACGACAAGACAACAACAACACTGCGGTACGGCGACATGACAGCACTGGGCACATACCGTTTTCCCAGAAAGTAATGTGTGAACCGCTTGCAGCGCTATCGAATCGCTGGTCTGCCGTCAGTAGGGAGTCTTGTGGTGGACTGGATGGCAGCTGGTGGTACCAGTCCTCATCTCCTTGCTCTGGGCCTGCCGCCGCTGATCTAGGTCCTGAGTGCAGCAACAGCCTGGATTGACTATCAACAGTAAAATACTCTGCTTCTTCCTGTTGTTGTTGTTGCTGCTGTTGTTGTTGTGGCTGGCTTATGGGCAAGTCTTGGTAGAGCGCTTCCTCGTCGGCTGCGCTCTCGGTGGCCGGCTTCTTGGCAACCTTGTCGCTGGCGGCTCTCTCCGGGGTGGTAACAACACCAAGGTTGTAGACAGCGTCATAGGATTCCTGCTCCGGTTCCTCCTCGTGTCCCTGGTGAGCTGGGCGGTTAGTCTTCACCACTGCAGACGTGTCCAGTGGAATGCAATCGTACAAATCTTCGCTGACCAATATCGATTGAGTACCAGTGGCACCAAGAGACGTGTCTGCCAAACTGTACGTATCTGGCGGTGAGAGCGGTATGACGGTTGTGGCATTGCTGGCGCGGTGCACGCGAGAATGACACGCGTCGGTATCGACCGCCAGGCCATCCACGGCATCGTACGTTTCCTCAGCGTTTGCCACAACATCTACAGCATCGTAGGTTTCCCCCGTGTTCCCGGGCGCAGCAGTAGCAACAGCCGAGTGCGAGAGCGCCGTGCGGACCTGCGCGTGGTCATACTCACTGGACCCACCGCACTGCTGAGGTGCTGGTGATGGGCAGGGGGTGGTGATGGCGGAGGGGGCCACGCTGAGGGTGTTCACGTCCAGGCACGTGTACTCCTCATTGAACAATTCACCGGTGTCGGCGGTGGCCGTGGCAACGGGACCTGCGGCCGCCAGCCGATGTGCCACCGTCTTGTTTGCGTTGTGCTGATTGCCAGCAGCAGCAGCAGGAGTAGTTGCCTTGCTGCTGTTCGTCTGCCGCAGTGAGCGCCGCGACACCTGGTAACCCGTGCTCATTTCGCTCCCTATGCGGCAAAGATGATTGCTCTCCAGTTCTGCAGACCAAAACACGCACACGCGCACACACACGCACACAGACAGACAAGAGGCAACAACAAAAACGAACCCCATGAACACACAACTGCTAGTGACAACAATAGCAAGAACAAACCTCATGAACACGAAACCGACAGAGAAGGGAGAGAGACCCCATAGCTGGAGTTCAGTGTTGCCACATCATTATAGCCAAATATCAGTAGGATAAAAAAACAAAATGCATCATCCGCGCACGGCACTGATAAGAAAAATAAATAAACTTTTTTGCGTGAGACTCAGGCTGAGTTTGCCGATTTTTCCCGAGACAGATGATGATTTCGCTTAGAGCCTTAGGAGAGAGCTATGGAAACACGCGTAATGAGCAGTAAGAGCCAAAAATCTGGATCATGACTTCTAAACCACGCATAAGGTCAAACTTGGACACTTTCATGGCTGTTGTCGGCAGGAGAAGGTCAATTGTCGGCAGGTCGTGACATGCCTCAAAAATCGGCAGGCTACTGACATGTCGGCAGGTGTGGCAACACAGGGAGTTGCACACTCTTGAGGGTTATGTCCTCTTGTTGATATAATATGTAGGACTCAGTATAGAGTCCATGCACTATATGATGTCCACCACCCTATATGGAGTCCATTGGTCCAAAATCCACTATACAGAGTCCAGGAGTCACTCAGTTTTGATCAGCTTCATCCTGCCGCGCAATCCCCTATAAGGAGTACACTTTTTCTACAAGTCCCCTATTCACGGTCCAGGAGTCCAGTTTATCCAGTCACGCCGTCCTGTGTGTTGTGCCCGAAAGAGAACAGACACCTTTTCAGTTTTGCTTGCCTCATGGCAGCGCATTCCTTTCTTTACTTCAGCCATGGCTGCCAGTTCTGCTGTGCAGTTGCTGACAGTAATCTGTCTCGAGGTAACCAAGGAGGATAAGGACACGTTCAAAATCAAATCTGGAAAGCGTCTTGTGGTTCTCTGAAGACGTTTCAACAATGCGCGGGATGAAAGCAGAAATTGCAGAACGAGAAAAGTTCAGCACAGTTCAAATCTGACGAGGCAGGTACACTGACACTCTCTTTCGTTCGACGCCACAAGGATCCCCTGTTTGGCTGGCCATTGCTGCCAGTAAGGCGTTTGAACGGTTTCATCAGAGCGAGGGATGAAAGCAGAAAGCAGAGAACGAGAAAAGTTCAGCACAGTTCCAATCTGACGAGTCAGATACACTGACACTCTCTTTCGTTCGACGCCACAAGGATACCGTGTTTGACTGGACAAGAGCTGCCTGTACCACCGTGTCAAAAGGCTGTCCAACTACATGGCAGGACGATGACTGAGGTAAGGAAGCTTTTACTCGTTTCGATTGGTCTGCTGTTCTGTCGTTATGCTTGAATTTTTTCCATTTTCAAGGATCGTATCGCGTTTGTTTGATGTTGCTTGAATGAATGCCCTAAAAGTAATCAACCACTTCGTAATAGTCCTCAAGGACTGCAAGGACTTTGCATCAATCGTATACGATCGTCTAGCTATCATCAATTATTATTTAATTTAATCGGAGAAATGTATTTTATCCCTGTGTCTGTGATAATTATGTGAACTCCACGACACTCTTCCTCTACTAGGCTCTAGTATGATGTAAAATACAATGGGATCCACAAACGCAGTGCCAGTGTACTAGTAGTACCGTAAAGTACCGCCAGAGCGCCCCACCATCTCATCCTTTCGTGGTCGTTTCGTGGAGGTGGTCTGCTGTCTGTAGGTCATACGACATGAACCTTGTACACATATTCCACGTTTTTCAGTCAATCCGCACCTTCAAGCTGACACAAGCTCCACACAAAAACCTGCCAAGTGTGACCTTAGTACACTAAGATTCTCACATCGTACACACTTCGTTGCACTCTGCCATACGATTTTCCTTTCTCTGGCTGCAAAATCAAGGTGGGGCGCTCTCGCGAGACGGGGCGCTCTGGCGGTACTTTACGGTAGTAGTAGGAGGAGGATTTCTTGTATGCCGATGACAAGAAAAAGCTTCTCAAGCTAATACATGTACTCGTATTCCATGAAGTAACCGTTTTGTGTCAGTGAAACTGCCTCGTGACAACAAATCATTGCATTTCCATCTTGGGGAAGACTGACTGACTGGAGCGCTGTACAGATTGTTTAGATCATCTCATTTCAATTCAGTTGCAGTGAAGTGAAACACTGTGTACACTACATGTATGGTGGTGTGTCTGTGCGTCTTGAGTGTGCACAAACGATCTTATTCCTCGTATTACCAAGAGTAGATAAACAAGAGTGTGCGACTCGCGGATGGATTGGCCCACGGCGGAATTTTTGTTGACGTAATCTTTTCGACGACGCACGCGCTGCGAGCCTTTTGGAGAGGTTTCCCTCGTGCACTTGGCGGGGCTTTACACTACAAGGTCGGTGCCCAGCACGTGCTCTCACACTGCTCTGCGGCAAAGTCCGCGTTTCCCTGAAAAAAGGTGACGTCAACAAAAAATTCCGCCGTGGGCGGGGGTATCTGCAGATTGTGCAGGAGAGATCCGGAGTTGCACACTCTTGTTTATCCACTCTTGGTATTACTAATAGATTATTGTCCCCACCGTCACCTGTTCACAGGTCTTTGTGTGGATGGATTTTCATTGAGCATCACATTCGTTGAGAACTTGGTAGTTGTGTGCTCCCATGCATCATTACGGTAATAAGCGTATCCTTGTGCTATCTATTTGTTGCAGGTGTGCTGATCTTCAGAAGCTTGCGGAACTGAGTGCTGCTGAACATTTGCATGGCCATGAGCAATGGTGAAGCTTGCTATTGCACTCTCAGCATGTGCTAGTATTATGCTGACTACTGCACTATGTTACTCTCTTACACTACTACATGTATGTAAACGTGCTTGCATCCGCCCACGTATGCATTCGTTTCGTGTAATTATTTGTTATTCCTCTTGACTTTACGTGTAAATGGGCGGACGTTTGCATGGCTGTTGGAGTTGCGTGTGTATTGTGTCTCTACTCTTTTCTTGGTGTTTTCTTGGCGTTGTATAAATTTGTGTGTGTGTGCGTGTGTGTGTGCGTGTGTGTGTGCGTGTGTGCGCGCGCACAATAATTTGAAAACAAATAATTAATCCTTGGCTCTCCATTATTCTCTTTCGATTATTGGTTTTTTCTAGGTATTTTCCTGGCGTTGTATGGGTGTGTGCATGTGTGTGTGTGCGTGCACAATAATTTGGCAACACTACATAATTGAGATAATATTATTGTAATGGCACCTATGCATAAAACATGGCGGCCAGGTCGCCATCGCGACTTCGCACCTTTGTGCGGGGCAACTTGCTCGACGCGAGGCTCTCCTTTGTTTTCAGTCGTTGCAGTGGAAGACAGTTTCGATATTAGTTGACAGGAAGATGGCAGTCAGTCAGGATTTTTCCCAGCTCACCTTGAACCTTCTGAAGGTGAAGTGTGGAGAGTATGGTCTCAAGAAGTCGGGAAAGAAAGCCGATCTAGTTGCGAGGTGAGTTGTTTTCTTCCCACAACAAAATCTTATTTTTTTGAAATTATTTGTGAATCTGAGTTTGTTGTTTATCTGCTCGTGTCGTTTACAGACTTGCTCAGCATTTCTCTGAAGGCGACGGTGATGGCAAGGAAGGGCCACCTCCGCCAGCTGCAGCGCTTGCTGTTATTCCCCACGACCCTCTGGATTTTCCTGTTACTGGGTGGCAGCCGATTAAATCTGCGAGTGGAAGGCTACTCTCCCTGTCGTTCTCCATGCAAACTATGGTTTCTTATTTCGTGGACACTATGACCAGCGATGGACCTGCCAAGAATTTCAAAGCGCTTGCTGCCACTGATAGCAAGTCAATTCGTCTGTATCGAGCAGGTTATGTCCAGAAAATCGAACTGATGAAGGCCAACAGCCGTGTGTACTACCGTGCCCGCTGTCAGCCTGAAATGAAGACCAAAGCTGACTACAAACTTCGGCTCGTTGCTCAGTGTGACTCAGGATCTGCCACCAGTGTTGTTGGTGCTCAGTGCACTTGTCCTGCTGGCAAGGGTGTTACTGCCAGTTGCAAGCATATAGCTGCACTGATGTATGGCTTGTCCGAGTTCACTCTGCTTGGGTTTAGTGATGCTCCGACGTGCACGGACATGCTGCAAAAGTGGAACCAGCCTCCTGCAGGTGCAGGTAAAAAGAGTGAGCCCATGCTGGTTCAAGACATGGAGTGGCGTAGAGGTGGCAGTACCACTGACAAATCTGCGCCAAAGAAACGTAAGCATTCTGGGGGATTGATCATGAAGAAGAGGCACGATGTGCCTACGTAGCCCACCAAGCCAAGTCTGGCAAGCTGATAGATGTTGTTGCATGTGGCTTATTTGTGCATGCTGATGAATGCTGGTTTGGTGCCAGTCCCGATGGCATTGTTAGGGATGGTGATACATCGCTTTTGCTCGAGATTAAATGCCCGTTTGTTGCTAGAGACCAAACTCTAGCAGAGGTAGCTGGGTCTACTGCATCATTTTGTTTGTCCAACAAGGATGGTGTGCTTTCTCTCAAAACAACACATGCCTACTATACACAAGTGCAAATGCAGCTCTTTGCTGCAGGCCTTCAATTTTGTGACTTTGTAGTGTGGTCTCCCTGCAATGATCTTTTTGTTGAGCGCATTTCATTTTGTGAAGTGCATGTCAAGAAAACTCTCGCAGCTTGCCGAACATTTTATTTTGATCATGTTCTCCCGAAACTGGCTCTGTGATCAAGTTTCTTGGTAATAGATATATTCCTCGTCATCTGAGATGACCATTGCTCACTTTGCTCCAGTTCCTGTAGTCTTGACTGTTTACATTCTTCCCTGATTTGTGGCAATCTTTTCTTCTGTAAGTGTGTCTGAACTGTTCTATACGCTGCACTCTATGTTCTTTATTATAGCTTTTTCTGTTCTGCCCTGTTCTGTAGCTCCTTCTTGATATAAACGCCGTGATTAGATGGTGGATAGTTCCATCAGCTACCGGCTTCCTGCATTTGTACATGATTAGGTAGTGTTGTATACATGTACCCAAGACAGTGGAACTCTGCTGTAAACAGTGCGTTATAGTAAATTATACTGCCATTACTGGTAACCACTACAAAAAACGGCACGTACAACTGGTTTACAATAGCTCGCCATTCCGTGTTACAACAGAGTTCAAAAAGGCATGAACGTTACATGAGTATTCGTATTTACTTCAAAGTAAGCGGCACTGGCAGCAGTCACAGGCCACATTTCCTACCTGGTGAACAGCACAAACAGACAAATAGGAGCATCACTACTTCTACTTCGAAGTACGAAGTCCTGAGTGAAATAAGCATCATTGTGTAGGGGCACCATTACTCACAACATAACACAAAGAAAAGAGGGGAAGAAAATACCGAGGCCACGTAGGAATATCGGCATGCGCAAAAAGCTTTCAACAGAGCGGCCTGGTCATAAAGCAAGAATTACATAGACGCCCATCTTCATCATCATTCTGACACATATGGTGGTAGCGTGAGTTACAAGACCTACAAACTCTAAGAAGTGGGCCATCTGAGCGCTTGCAAAACAAACATACGGGAGTGGTCACATAGGCAGCAGCGGCTACAGAAGAAGATGGCACGCTGATAGCAGCAGCAGTAGCAGCTACAGGAGATGGCACGTTCGTAGCAGCAGAAGTAGCAGCTACAGCAGATGACAACTTGGTAGCAGCGGAAGCAGCAGCAGAAGCAGTAATGGCAGGTGAAAGAAATGTGCCAGCTGAAACAGCCACTGCAGAAATGTTTGCATCTGGTGATATCTGGGCAACTTCTGCAGCAGAGGAAAAGTGTGCAGACTGTGTCGATGGCTTACTAACAGGCGGAGGTACCAGGGGCTCCATGTAGTTAGTGAGGAATGCACACACAAATATGATCTGCTCAGCCAAAGGGCACAACACGGAAGATAAGAAGTGAGTTATCCTGAAGTTCTTGATCCTTTCCATTGCTCTCTCCACATGAATACGCACGCTAGCAATACGCCGAGTTTCGATCACCTCTTCTTCATCAAGCTGATCTCGAGAACCAAGAAACGGGGGTATGTTGAGATCGACACCCTCCGGTAGCAGATCGGCAATGTCGAAACCACGGTCGGCCATGATGGCATCACCCTTCTCCATCAACTTCATTAGCCCACTTCGCTTTGTCAGTTTCTTATCAGAAATGCGCCCGCCATAAAGAGGAGACAGAAACGATATTGCACCGGTAGGTGTCACACCAACTAACAGTTTGAAAGTGTTCCTGTTTTTGTAATTCGACCAGGTGGCTGCTTGTACAGTTGGGTTGGCTGGCTTCTCAATGGGAAACTCTGTTGCGTCAATAATTACCCGGGTGCGTGGGTACTTGTCTTTGAAGACGTCGGGCATGTAGCGATCAATCAGAGCCCGGCTCGGCCAAATGTCCACTTCTTTCATAGAGAAGTACATGCAACGAATGTACGTTGAAAATATTCGGGACACCGTGGATTGATCTATTCCGAATCGCAGTGCTAAATCTGACTCAGGGAAAGCATGCCGAAGTTTGACAAGGGTCAATAGCAACTCGTCTTCATACGCCAATGCTCTTCGTCTGCCACGGCTGTCCTGGCCAAGGAAATCAGTTGGCACTTTAGTAGCAAAGCACATGTCTTGACATCCACACCGCAACTGATCCTGCAACAAGTCAAACGCCAGAGAACTCAGGCCCGTGTAAAACAGTACAATCTTGTTGTCATGTCGGATGTTCGAGTAATGGAGTTGGCATTTACGCAAAGCTTCTTCCGATTCATCCAAATTGTACAAGGCCTGCTCCAACTGGGACCGCAACTTAGCCACTTGTGCTTCCAAAGTCTTTATTTTGTTCTCTTGGAGAACGGGAACTTCACCATAATCATGGTCAGCTAAAAGTGTTGCAGCCTCAGGCACCGATTCATCTGTGACTGGTACAGGGTTCGCAGCCAACCAAGCACACAAAATTCCAAACTTTTTCCAAACTTTTTCCAAACCAATTTCAAGAATTTCCAAACCCACTCGTGCAGGAAAAATAAATTATGAATCTCTTCTGCATGACTGTCTTCTCCACTACGAGTACAACCAGGGAGTAGTAAAATCTTCCCTGGTACCACTACCATCAACAAATTCACCAAGGTACATTGCAATGGCATCGCCTTCAGCAGCTAGAGCCCCCGAAAATAGCAAGGGAATTCATACGACGAGAGTAACTCAGTTCCCCTCCGTAAGTTCAAATCCGCCTCCAGAAGGGGTTCCAATGAAACATTTACATAGCTGGCGTTCGTCTCAGCGCAAAAGACGGCTTCATCCTCGCCAGCAAACTCATCTGAGTGCGAAAGGACCTCGCCATCCTGCTGTCCCGACTTCAAAGAATCAAAGTCGAGCGCGAGCGCTAGTAACGAAAAACGGCCAAATAAAAGTCATGAAACATTTACATAGCTGGTGTTCGTCTCAGCGCAAAAGACGGCTTCATCCTTGCCAGCAAACTCATCTGAGTGCGAAAGGACCTCGCCATCCTGCTGTCCCGACTTCAAAGAATCAAAGTCGAGCGCGAGCGCCAGTAACGAAAAACGGCCAAATAAAATAAAAGTCATCACCGGCCGCGCTGGAGCTGCACTGAAATGACTGTACGAGACTCGTACATCAGTGAACACCACACATCGCCAGCGCGTCTTCTATCGCGGTAGTCAAAACGGCCACTTGCACTGCAGGAGTGCAGCACATCCACGGCCAAAAACTCGAAATTCAAAACTTTTTCCAAACTATTCCAAAAGGAGCGCCTTTTCAAAACTTTTTCCAGACCTGGAAAATTGAATTATAAAATCCAAACTTTTTCCAGACTTCCAAACTTCGCTGCGAACCCTGCTGGTAAATCAACATCGTCATCAATATCAATCGCTTCAACGGGTCGACTGACTTCGCCTGTCGAAACACGGCTCTTCCTCTTCACTACGACGGCTTTGTCCAAGAAACGGGAAGGTGGCTCGTCCTCCGTCACAGGTCGACCACCAGGAAAGTGCACCCCACAGACATACGAGTTTCCAGAAAGAGGAGTGTTGACTCTTGGTATTTTGGCAAGCCACTCGGCCCTGATATGCCGGCGTCGATCCGAATCTTTAGGCAAACGATGAAAAGATACAGCTTTACAGACCTCTGCTGTTCCTCCGCAGCCAACACGAGCCAGGTCTGATCCACATAGACGACGCTTCCCAAACACTTTTCGTCCTTGCGAGTTCGCATCATCAGACTCAAACAAACCAAACTTGCAGCTGCTTTTACGATTTGAGCAGCCAGGGACGATACAATGAGCGTTGCTTGGCATGATTGTGTCAGCTGCTTACTGATCTCTAACTAACTTGCTACTTATACACAACAGCAAACTGTGACAACCCTTGCCTTCCAAGAAGGAAATAAATGTCTTGCTTTGAGTTTGATTCTTCACCAACACAAAGGAAAAAAAATTGTACATTGTACTTCAGCCTCAGCAAACGCGAAGCAGGTACGTAGGGCTCTACGATCATCAGAGTTTCCACGCGTGCATGCATGAGACTGCATGCTGCGCTGCGTGGTGCAAGTACAGTGTCGAGGTCGTGAAGTTGCCCCGCACAAAAAACCGCGGGAAAATTATGCATAGGTGCCATTTGCAGCGTCTGCGAAGAGACCACTTGATTTGAGGATGGTGTTTGTAGGGTTTTTCATGTAATGAAATGGCTGCAGTGGCGCCTCAATACTTATTTTTTATCTTGAGAAGTAAATGATGTAAAGGATTAAAGGGAGAGGCCGTTTTCTGGTTAATATTCACTGCTTACAGCAGATCCTATGTCTAATTTCGAACTCTGGATAGGGGATGCCTAATTGGCTGGACTTTATACAGGGAGTGTTGTCCACATAAAGACTCCTTATAGTTGATTTCAAAGTTTGGACTCCATACAGTTGATTTTGGACCAATGGACTCTATAAAGGGGTGAAGCCAATTGGCTGGACTCTATACAGGGAGTGATGTCCAACTAAACTTTGAGCTCACAGTTGATTCCAAGTTTGGACTCTGTACAGTGGACTTTGGACCATTGGACTCTATATAGGGGTTGGACATCATATAGGGGCTGGACGCTCTACTGAGTCCAACATATACACACAGATATACAGGCGCACAGAAAACAGGTGCAAAGACACGGGCGTCAAGACACACAGGCACACAGCGACTGATCAGGCACTGTGGCCGAGGCATGGCTCAATGGACATTGTGCAGGGTTGGTAACGCTCTGTGGACAAATGAAACGACGTAT